TATACACAGAACTATTTTGAGACTCAGAAATTGATATTTACTGTAATGCTAGAACATGACATTTTAACATTTTGCACATTTGCAATCCTGTGTGTGTGTATGCTTCACACATACACACCCAAATAAATTAGCTTGGTTCTATAATCCTGAAACAAACAAATACCTGAAGGCAAATTCTAACACGAAGTTATATAGTCCAATCTAGCCAAAATACATCAATGCATACAATCTAGCGTTTTATTATTTAGGGATTAGGTAAGCAACCTGTGGAAAGAGTCAAATAATCTTAGTTCCTTTATAAAAGTGGCTCCCAACATTTCACCATGAGAATTCTTTTACCATTCCTCACCCATTTTTCAAGTATTTTGTTTACTAAATTGCATATAACAGGTTTTCTCATTTTTTATTAATCAAAATCATAACTGCCATTCACAGTTTCGGATCAGTGTGTGATAACTAGTATTAGACAGTTGAAAAAATATACACAAAATACATGGAAATTCATGTTGTAGTTGGCTTGTGCAACAGAAATATTCTGAGTAAATATGATTTCTAGTATGCTTTTTGAAATACTGAAAAAGGTTCAAGGATGCCTTTACTATTGTCTTCATCTGCCTCAATTTGGGAACCACTAGTTTATAACTACCTGCTTTTCTTCCCTAAATCGAGTATTAACATAACATAATATAACATAACATACAATTACCCATGTTAACACATAGAGGATTGATAAAATTCACTTCTGAAAAATAGACTAATTGCAACACTTATTCTGTAGAGTTTGACTGAGAAAGAAAACATAACACAGATTTAAAGCAATATATTTAAAAATTACAAAATTATGATATCCAGTACATTTTCCAGTCAACTTCAAAAAGTACATTAATATATGAAAATATCCTCAATTCCTCTGTGAGGTAGGTCCAGATTATTGTCCCCACTTACACAAGGAGGACATGAGATACAGAGGAATTAAGTAGCAGACTAAGAATTGAACCAACCAGAAGTGACTTGGGTTTGATTCCATTACACTTTCCATTCCATCTAATATTATCAATTTGTTCCAATGGATCTTTGTGAGGATATGGAGCTTATTAAGTAACTGAAACAATATTGTATAAGATATGAAACTCTTTTTGCATTAATATCAAAGTAGATCCTTCTATATCTCCATTGTCGTTACAGCTATAATTCTTGTCTGGATACCAACTACATAGTCAGATCCCCCATAGGCAAAGACCACAGACCTCAGTTCTCAGTTCCTGCGGAATTACATTCATTCTCACTACCATATAGGGCTGAGGTCTAGCAGGCATCATGTTCTTTAAGTCTGTGTGATATGAATAACATATGAGCTAGGAGCCAGTTGGTGAATCAAACTTTAACTGTGTGCAAGGCACTGTCAGAGTTCCTACCAAGGGTAGTAGATCTGAAAAAAAAAATCATTCTGAGATTCTTTAGGGTAAAAATTTCCTAAGGGTTCCTAGAATCACAAAATGTGATTAGGTAATCTTTAATTTTCTGTCCACCTCTAGGTTCAACCCCATGATTTTATAGATAAAGAGGTTGGCATGTAATTTAAGTGACTTCCCTGGAGCCCATAAGATAAGATTATTTCTTCATGAATCTGACAGAGTCCACAGAAAATGAAACATATTCTCAGGTTGCCATTATCAAAATGAAAAGGCAGGCTCTGAATCAAAAACAAGAAATTTGGGGCAAGATGAGAATATCTGTCTGCCAATCAATCAATCACTCTTTTATTTCTATCCTTATTTTTAGTCCATGTATTACATAAACAGGTAATGTTAATAAATCTATTTCTTTTCTGTGGAAAATTTCCCTGTAGTTCACCATTTAAAGGAATACAATTTGACAATTGTTGCAGAATGAATTCTTAAATTAGAATTTTATAGGCATAACATGACCTAATTTCAATAATTTGAACATTTTACCATCAAATTAGCAAAAAAATTAACACTGTTTGAAATTCCTTCCACTAAAGAATACACACACACACCCTCCCAGTCAAAGTCAATTCTAATGAAATATTGTTTAAGTAGTGAGATTTGCTTTTTGTAAGTGGTGGTTTATTTGTAAACAAAATCAAAATGCTAATGATTTTTAAAGCTCTCATACATTTGAAAAACCCCTATTTATTCAAAGGCTTAGAACTTCACTCCAATTACTAAAAAAACACATAAATTTCATTGGAAATGGTAGAGTACTAAATATTAACACAGTTTGATTAACTGAACAGACATTAGTGTTTATAGGTCATAATAATAAGAATAGTATGTCTACTAAATACTTAAGTGGATTTTGGTGGGGCTTCAATCCAAGATCATTGTTATTCGAGAACCATGTTAAATTCTATCTTCACTAGCATTAAAATTAAACTAGTTTTGAAAGTGACTGATAGTCTTGTTCTGTAATATGCTGTCACTAATGGATCACATGACTGGGGAAAAAAAGGAAAAGAGGATTTAAATAATAAGAAATATAATGTGTCGGCGAAATATACTTAGTTGAAAAGATGGTATTTTAAATCTAATGTTTATCATTTCATCCATTCTGCTTCCTGCCACATAAAATGTTATCTTTGTTAAAAAAAAAAAACAAGGCACTTCTCCATCTACTTCTAACATTTGACTACAATGGTCTCTGTCCTAAATTAACATGAAGGGTTAAAAGGGAACAAAGAATAGTTGAAGAAGGTTAAAGCTTATTTCATTTTATATACAATTTGGGTGTTTAAAAAGGTAATGGAGTGGAGATGCATAAGGGAAAGTTAGAGAAGAGCCAGTTTTAATGTGCAACCTTAAAGCTTTGTGAAATTTATATGCTTTGGCAAATACATGTTATTTTCTTTAGAAATGACCGTAGCAGATTTCATAAAGGACTATGCAGCAAAAAAAATTGAAAATTACTTTCTTCAAAAACAACTTTCAAAAAAATATTTTACTAACTTGATGAAAACATCTGAGTATATACTAACCCGAGGATAAAAGAAAAAAAGATTGATAGGGGAGGAATTAATGACCACAGCGTGCTGTGTCATTTCAGCATTCACTTTTGTCAATTTCTTTGAAAAGAAAACAGTCCCCTACAAAGCACTCCAAAACACACAAATGTTAATCAGCCTTGTCCAGAGGCAAATAGTTTGAAAAAGGAGTTATATAGGAAAGTAAAAAAGAACAGTGGATATTTTTGGAATAGTTCAATAAGATGGGTCAACCAGCATAATGATCAATAAAATAATAAATTTAAGAGCAATTAGAGGTTTTAAAATTAAGTTTATACATACTGGCACATAGTTTTTATAACAAATGCTACTGTCGCTTGAATTATACTCTGTCACCTCCAGATGTATTCTATTCCTGTCTCAATATTTATATCATGGAAAGCCAATTCACTACTTTCTGCTATTCTTTGAGTAAAACCAAGTGTGATTTATACATGGTAGAAAAATTACTGTGACCATCACATGACTAAATTCTAAGTTCATAGGAAAAAATAAGATTTTATGGGTTGACACATAAAAGTATCACTTGACAATTCTGTAATTAGAAATTAGTGATAATTAAAATTTTTGTATTATTTTGCAAATCAATTTTGGTATTAAACTGTCACAGTTTGAAACATAAACCTGATGATAGTAATTGGAACATAAACCACAGATACAATTTTTCCCTGACCTTAGCTATAAAACAAGACATTTGGTATGCATTTTCAGAGGTTTCCACCTTGTCTATAAAAATACACCTTCAATTGTACAGTAGACAGACAGATGATATTTGCAGGCACACACAACATATGAAAAGTTAGATTCTCAGTGGCCGGGTGTCATGGTAATGGGACTCTGCAGAGGGAGGTGAAAACGTGTTTATGCAAAAATTATAGTCACGCATTAAATAGGGTTTCTTTTCTCCTATTACTGGTATAAGACTGTCACTTTCAAAATGGGCATACATTTTAAAACTGGTTTTAAAAGGTCTAACTTTGTATGAAGAAATCATTCTTCTTTTCACTGGGAAAAATGTTTGCTTAAAAAACTTTACTAAAACTAATAAGAGTAAGTTGTTAAATAAAATACTATAATTTTATTTTTATCACTAAGAATTACAAATAATGCCTACATATAGACATCCATTGCAATTGAATTAACACAATTTAGAGCTTTTTTATTGTTAAAAATTCAAGTGCTAGAAGAATTAGTGTAATGCTCTCACTTATCCTTTCTAAAAAAAGATTTTATTTATGTATTTTTAGAGTGGGGAAGGGATGGAGAAAGAGAGGGAGAGAAACATCAATGTGTGGTTGCCTCCCATGCGCCCCCTACTGGGGACCTGGCTCACAACCCAGGGATGTGCCCTGGCTAGGAATCCAAACAGCGACCCTTGGTTCGCAGGGCGGCACTCAACCCACTGAGCCACACCAGCCAGGGCTCACATATTCTTTTTAAAAAAGATTTTCTTTCTTTATCTTTAAAGAAAGGGGGAGGGAGAAAGAGAGGAAGGGAAACATTGATAAGAAAGAGAAACATCAATTGTTGCCTCTTGCACAGCTGGGGACCTGGCCGGCAACCTAGGCAACCTAGGCATGTGCCCTGACTGGGAATCAAACTCGTGGCCTTTTGGTTTGCAGGACAACACCCAAACCACTGAGCCACATCACTTACCTTAATTGAGAAAAGAAATAAGAGATATATGCACATACCAATGAAAAGCCTACATGTGGGGTGAATTTATAAACTAAAATATTTTCATCTATATACTTATCTTTCCTTCATGGACATAGACAATAGTATGGTGATTACTGGAGGGAAGGGGGTTGGGTGGAGGTAGAAGAGGATAAAGGGGGATGAATGGTGATAGAAGGAGACTTGACTCTGGGTGATAAACAGACAATATAATATATAGATGATGTAACATAGAATTATTAAAAATACTCGCCTTTCCTTATTAATAATATCCAAGTATTTAAAAAATCCTCAAAAATAAGATTAAGAATATTTTATTAATTGTGATTTACCCACCACATGCATATTCTTTAAGTACAGCTTTTCAATGGGCTTTCTCTTTCCCAAAGTAGAATATTAGAACCCCAGAAGGGCATTAGCAGTGGCTTTCATGGGGGTCTAGACACCATCTAAGCCATCTGAAATCTTGAAAGACTCCTTACAGGTGACAATTGTGTGTTTTTTCAAATGCAGAAAAGGAAACATTAAGGGAAATAAATGAGAATAGTGGGGCTTTAAAATGTGTCAGATGCCAAATGAATTCTTTTGGGGGTGGGAATGGAGGACAAAATGGTAATTACTGAATTAAATAGAAAAAAATCAGGGTCTTGGTTTCAGGTGCAATGCAGAGTATCTTAGACAGTGATTTTAGTTTTAATCAACTCATTACAAAGGGCAACCCTGTCCTACAGTTGAAATTTTTCGCATACTTATTATGGCTTTGCCATACAACAGCATGTTAACAATCTGTACATTTAAAAGGATGCTTACAAACTTCATTCATATTAAAATCTATGCAGAATTGTTGGCAATACAGTAAGAATAATATTAAATTCTGTAAACCATGGCATATCACATTTTACATTATGCAAAGAGACAATATTTACAAGTCTTTAGGAGTTTAAATATTTTATCCACTAACATAAATGATAATTTAGCTAAGTGCAGGACAAAACCAGTGCTACTAATTGCATGTCCTTTGAAAGCAGATAAGAATAAAACCATTTCTAAAAGCTACCAAAAGCTTCTTTATGTCTGTTCAATAAGGGATTACAGAGCATTAAAGTAGCCTACAAAAATGATGCATATTTAGAAACAGTGAATATGAAAATTATAAGGCAGCATGCTTAAAACAAGTTTTTGTTTTTTTAACGCCAGTACTAATGTTTTATCTTTAATAACAACTATACATATACACATATGTGTGTATTTATTTAAAAACTGAGAGTGCAAAACACAAGCTTTGTTTAACAACAACAAAAAAGATGTGCAAATTTTCTTTTTAAACCAACACAAATAAAAGAATGAGGATAATATTCTACCATTATAAAGAATAAGTTGAAGAGAGCAATGAGACCATCTTCATTCCAAGATCACCTACAAGGCACTAAGGGTAGGAAATGACAGGTAACACAGAAGTGACTGAATAAAATTCCTCAGTCAGGTCGGAATATGGGATATTTTGGTAAGAATTCTATTAGTATTACCTGCAAAATAAAAGCAGACAACAATATATTGACAAAATAATTTTCATTTACTATAACTTATATATAACCCAGAAAGTCTATAACCATTTTTCTTGTACAGTAAAGTACATGAAATATATAAAACAGTTATAAAAAGAACTTACCACACATTTTCATTAGATAATAAATTAAATAAAAACTGTTGCACCATAGCAACAGGTTTTTTTTTTTAAGATTTTATTCATTTATTTTCAGAGAGGGAAGGGAGGGAGATGGAGAGAGAGAAACATCAATGTGCAGTTGCTGGGGGTCATGGCCTGCAACCCAGGCATGTACCCTGACTGGGAATCGAACCTGCGACACTTTGGTTCACAGCCCGTGCTCAATCCACTGAGCTACGCCAGCCAGGGCCCATAGCAACAGTTTTTATTATCTGATTTACAATAACTATTTTTTAGGTACAAAAAAGTAAACCCTATTACATTATTATGTCCTTCTATACCTACCTTGCATCCCGCTTTTTTTTAGCAAAGTGCAATGGATTAAAATTGTGCTATCCAGTTTAGAAAAATACCTTTATCTATATTACAACTATATATTTTTCAATTAAAGTTGCTATTTGGTTGAGTATTACTATCTTTTGCAAGTTGTTTATAAAAAATAATAGTGTCCAAATGGATTGATTAAAATATGTTTATTAAAGGTTTGAAAATATAATTATGAAAACCTAAGATATTTATGAGCTTTTATAAATTTAACACATAATTTTGTAATAGTAGATTTTAGGTTTGTGGTCTTTTGTATATTTTCTCCCCAAAACTATGCAAAGTGGGAAAAGATATGATAATCCTTATTTAGGAAATGGAAATGCAATATTTATTATTAAATATATACTACATGCAGCAACTTGAAATGAATAAATTTCATATTCTTTTTGATGTTAATAATGCTGAATTTGTCACATTGGTTATATGTGAATTCATGTTTTATTATTAAGATGCATAGCTTTCAGTAAAAAAAAAATACAGGGCCTGGCACAAATAATGCTCCTTTTTATTACATAAAAATCTTTTATTGCAAAATCATAAGCATGTGATTCTGTAACATAACAATATCACAATCAAGCACACCATAGGACATTTTAGGGGAAATGTTCAAATTGTTGTCCATTTCTTGTGAGACATTCATGGACCCTACAAACTGCATTCCAGCAAGCCTTACTTCTGCCAGACCCTGTATAGAAACTATGGTTTCTTTACTAAAAGTTAAATATAAGCTAAATTTAAAAAAAAAGTCAGAAAAATAAATACAGAATTCAGAAGTCAGTTCCTATGTTATGCAAGTTTTGACAAGATTACATTTAGAAATATTTTGTTCAACACCAGCTGTGCCCATCGCCATATGCAACGATTTGCACCTATGTTGAAAGAAGATTAAGGTTGTGCAATATTTTTATCTGAGCACATTAGTTGATATTTGTCTAAGATCTAAATAATTGCTAGCTTTCAAGATATTTTATGTTGGCTACAAATATAAGCAAGGTGAAAGAAAACCCTCTATATTTCAACTGATAAAAGTTCAGGATGAGGAGAAAAATGATAGAAAGATGATTTGACAAATGATAAATATGCTAAAATGTAACAGTCAGAATGGGATCCAAAAAAGCTAAATTAAAAACAACTGCATACTTACATACTCCATCATATTGCTAGTTTCACATTTCCTTTTAGTCAACTTCCAGTGTAAAGCAAGCTAAAAAAGTACAATTTGTTAAGAATTTTGATATCAATTTATACTAATAATTACCTATACATTTAAATAAATTACAGAAAACAATCTAGGAATAACTGTAAGATCCAAATCATAACATTTTAAATTACTTGGTAAAGAATATACATTAAACATTGAGTATTAATTCTCTAATTCATTCTTTTGTGGCCTGCGAAATTCCCACTTTTTCAATTTAATAATACAAATAAATGAATGGGGCACTTATTTGTTTAAACTTCTTACCTTGTGATATAATCTGTTATTTTCCCATTCTAACAACTTCTGAATTGATCTTCTGGTCTGAGAGAAAGAATCAAGACTTTGTTACAAGATGACTTAAGCAGCTTTGTAAACTATGTGTACCTATATTTTTCTGCTTACTTGTAAGATCCCATTATTTTCTCCTCTTGTTTTTCTTATTAGAAATCAGAAACAAAACAAAACAAAACAAAACAATGTAACTGACAGAAACTGCCAAAAGAGGAACAATGTTTTGAGAGGTTATTATACTATTATAATAAGATTGTCCTTTCTCCCTCTCATATACAGGGTCCAGCACAACTCATGCCCCTTTTTTATTACATAAAAATCTTTCATTACAGCGCTGGCTGGTGTGGCTCAGTGGATTGAGCACTGGCCTGTGAACCAAGGGGTTGCCAGTTTGATTCCTCGTGGGGGCACATGCCTGGATTGTGGCTCAGGTCCTTGGTAGGAAGTGTATGAGGCAACCACACATGGATGTTTTTCTCCCTCTCTTTCGCCTTCCTTCCCCTTTCAATAAACTAACAAATGAATAAACAAATAAATAAAATCTTAAAAAAGATTTTATTAAAAACCACAAGCATAGAATTCTGTAACATAACAATATCACACTCAAGCACACCATATGACATTTTAGGTGAAATGTCTGAATTGCTGTCCACCTCGTGAGAGACATTCACATACCCTACCAACCACATTCAAGCCTTACTTCTGCCAGACCTTGTATAAACACACATACATACACAAATATGTAAAATTTTAATATATGCACTTCAAAATGATATATGTACAAATCACTGTGCTCTGAGTTCATGCACTAAATTATTGTGAAAACATTACTAATACTGCTAGAAGTCCATTTATAGATTTAATCTACATTTTAATGTACTTTTTCACAGGGCTACTTTTTCAATATGCATGCAGTATGCCAAGTTAATCCAGTTTCTCACAGAAAAATTCCCTATCAGAGCTCCTAGCACAATGTCTGGCATACGGTAGTCAGTCAGGGCCTATAGGTTCAATAAAAGCAAGTCAATATATATCAGAATTTCCACTGAAAAGAACATGTTAAAAACGGCCAGTCAGAAACTTATACTGAGAGGGAAAAATATAAACAAGAGAAGCAGCACTGTAGTAAACAGAAAGACAGAGGCTAAGTTTCTCCATTTGGAGTGTATATATTTTGTAAGGAGAAAGAAAAGTTTTCAAAATACTTGAAGACGTTAAAGGACAATATTAACTAGGCATTTTTGGTTCTTATTTGAAGAGTTTTATAAAGTTCCTGGTAAAAAGGTCAGTAGGCATTGTTAAATTTTAAAACTACTCCCTAAAATTAAATGATTTACACATCAGACTATATCTGAAGTGATTTCCAAAGCACCAACACAAGAAATTATTCTAACTGTTCAGCTATGTAAGTTAACAACCAATGGCAACAATACCAGCTAGAGTTTAGCATGTGGACCTTGTACTTGACAGAATCTCTTTAAACAAAATCAAGTAGTTAACAAAGAAAGAGATTAATTTAGTAATTATAAATCTTTCCATAAAGTAAAACCCAGGCCCAGATGACTTCAATGAAGTATTCTCCTAGTTAAAGAAGAAATGGTACTATGAAATAAATACAAAATTCTCAACAAAACACCAGCAAGCTGAATCTACCAACATATGAAAAAGATTATATATCAGGACCAAGTGGAATTTATCCAAGGAACACAAAAATATGTTGATGTAGTACATTATATTAATAGGATAAAGGACAAAAACCACATGACCATATTCATTACGATTTAGAAAGCTCATCAAGATTTAGAAAAAGCATTGAACAGAAATCCTATACCCACGCATAATAAAAATCCTACAAAACAGAAATAAAAGGAAACTTCCTCAAGCTGATAAAGGGCATCTATGAAAAATCTACAGCTAACATCATTCTTAACAGAAGGAGACTAAATGTTTTCCTCCTAAGATTAGTAACAAGATGTCTCCTCCCACTACATTTTTTCAACATTGTACCAGAAGTTATAGCCACAGTAATTACACAAATACAAATAATAAAAAGAATCTAGATAGGAAAAGAAAAGTGAAATCTTCATTTGCATACAACATGATCTTTTATAGAAAAAAGCCTAAGGAATCCACTAAAACACTATTAGAACTAATAAGCTCCGCAAGTTTGCAAGAAATATGATTGGTATAGGTAGAAATATGGATCCAATAATCTTCACACCTTGAAGTGAACACCAGAAAATATGTTGTATTACATTGCAAAAGGCCATAGGAGGTATAATTAAAATTACTAATAGTTTGACTTTAAAATAGAGATTACCCTGGGTAATAGAGATTACCCTGGATTATTTTGGCAGACCCAATAAGTAATTCTACGAGTCCATAAAAGCAGATAATTTTTTTTCTGGCTGATAGAAGGATAGTCAGATGGGGTTTGAAGCACAAGAAAAACTTGAATCACCATTGTTGGCTTTAAGATAATAATGGCCAAATAGAACATATAAGAAATAGTTTCTGCCAAAACCTGAATGAGCTGAAAAGCAAATACTTTTACAGAATATCTAGAAAGGAATGCAACCCTGCCAGTACCTTTATTTTGGCCTTGTGAGATCGTAGTAAGAGAACCCAACTGAGTTACACTGTGTCCAGACTTTTGACTGTTAAGTAGTAAAATGGTGTTGTTTTAAGCCACTAACTTTGTAGAAACTGGTTACACTAGATGGAAAAGTAGTAACAAGGGTCAACATAAAAAAATCAATTGTATCTCTTTATACTTAGGAAAGAACAATCTCAAAGTGAAAGTAAAAAGGCAAGGCCATTCACAATAGAATTAAGGATAAAATATTTAAGAATACATTTAACAAAAAAGTATAAAATTTGTACACTGAAAAATAAAAAAATTGCTAATATAAATTAAAGAATACATAAATAAATAGAAAGATATTTCATGTTCATGAATCAAAAACATTTACAACAAATGGTGCTGGCACAACTAAATATCCAAAAGAAAAATGATAACTCAAAACTCTACCTCATAGCATTCACAAAAATTAACTCAAAATGGATCAAAGACCTAATTGTAAGAGATGAAACTTTAAAACAAGTAGGAGAAAATCTTTGTGATAATTTAGGCAAAGTTTTCTTAGATATGATGCAAAAAGCACAAAAGAATTTAAAAGTAAGAAATTTTAACTAACAAAAAAGCAAAACTTGTGTATGTCAAAGATACCATCAAGAAAGTGAGACCTCTTTCCAATGGCCATGTGAAGACCTTTCACAAAAGAAATTAAGAAAACAATTACATTTATAACAGTATCAAAAGAATAAAATAATAATAAACTGAGGTACGCAGGTAAAAAACATACACAAAAAGTATAAAACACTGATAAAATAAAGACATAAATAAATGCAAAGACATCCTGCATTCATGGTTTGGAAACCTTAATATTGTTAAGATAACAATATTATCCAAAATGGAAGGCCAAGATTGAAGAAGATTAGTAGGATTTGTCTTTATTTAAAAATATATTTTATTAGTGGGGAGGGATGGGTGGGCGGGCTGGAATGGGAGTAAAAGGGAGGAAACTGTACTTGCATAATGATTAAAATAAAATTTAAAAAAATATATATTTTTTATTGAATATGCTATCAAAATTGTCCATTCCTCCCCTTTATTCCCCTCCCCCCTGCATGCCCCCTCTCTCATCCACATTACCACCCACGTTTAGTTCATGTCCATGTGTCGTAAGTTCTTTAGCTTCTACATTTCCCATTCTATTCTTACCCTCCCCCTGTCTATTTTCTACCTACCATCTATGCTACTTACTCTCTGTACCTTTTCCCCCTCTCTCCTCCTCCCACTCCCCTGTTGCTAACCCTCCATGTGATCTCCATTTCTGTGGTTCTGTTCCTGTTCTAGTTGTTTCCTTAGTTTCTTTTGGTTTTGCTTTAGGTGTGGTTGTTCATAATTGTGAGTTTGCTGTCCTTTTACTATACATGTTTTTTTTATCATCTTTTTCTTAGATAAGTCCCTTTAACATTTCATATAACAAGGGCTGGGTGATGATGAACTCCTTTAACTTGACCTTATGAGGGAAGCACTTTATCTGCTCTTCCATTCTACATGAAAGCTTTGCTGGATAGAGCAATCTTGGATGTAGGTCCTTGCCTTTCATGACTTGGAATATTTCTTTCCAGCCCCTTCTTGTCTGCAAGGTCTCTTTTGAGAAATCAGATGACAGTCTGATGGGAACTCCTTTGTAGGTGACTGTCCCCTTATCTCTTGCTGCTTCTAGGACTCTCTCCTTCATTTGTACCTTGGCTAATGTAATGATGATGTGCCTTGGTGTGTTCCTTCTTGGGTCCAGCTTCTTTGGGACTCTCTGAGCTTCCTAGACTTCCTGGAAGTCTATTTCCTTTGCCAGATTGGGGGAGTTCTCCTTCATTATTTGTTCAAATAAGTTTTCAATTTGTTGCTCTTCCTCTTCACTTTCTGGTACCCCTATAATTCGGATGTTGGGATGTTTAAAGATGTCCTGGAGGTTCCTAAGCCTCTCTTCAATTTTTTGAATTCTTGTTTCTTCATTCTTTTCTGATTGAATGTTTCTTTCTTCCTTCTGGTCCACTCCATTGATTTGAGTCCATTTCCTTCCTACCACTATTGGTTCCCTATATATTTTTCTTGATTTTACTTAGCATATCCTTCATTTTTTTTCATCTAATTTGCGACCAAATTCAACCCATTCTGTGAGCATCCTGATTACCAGTGTTTTGAACTCTGCATCTGATAAATTGGCTATCTCTTCATCGCTAAGTTGTATTTTTTCTGGAGTTTTGAACTGATCTTTCATTTGGGCCAGTTTTATTTTCTTGGCGCACCTGCCACATAGTTAGGTGTGGAGCCTTAGGTGTTCACCAGGGTGGGGTACACTTTGGCGCTGCTTTTTAAAAAATATATTTTATTGATTAGGCTATTACAGTTGTCCCATTTTCCCCCTTCACTCCCCTCCACCCTGTACACCCTCTCCCAC